TTTGGTAATTTATTTCAAAATACCTGTCAGCAAGCATGTCTGTAACAATACAGACAAAAAAAAATAGATTCTGGTAATTTTTTTTTTTTACAAATAGATTCCTTACTAGGCATATTAATACAGAACTTTGAATAATTCATTCAAACTACAATACAGAAACGTATTTCCTGCACCCATCAGAAGCAATGCAAAGGCTTGGGGGAGTTAGGGGTAATAGAGAAACTGAGGGAGAGGAAAGGAGCCTGGAGTGAACCTGGTGGGTTGTTGGGTGTGGGTGGGAGAGGTATGGAACAGGGTTTTTTTGGGGGAGGGGAGGGACTGCTAGGGGGTTGGGGAGCCTCCTCCATGCAGACCCTTGCTGACCCCAAGCCTCTCCCATTCACAGGACCGGCTCTAGGCACCAGCAAAGCAAGCAGTTGCTTGGGGAGGCAGATTTGCAAGGGGCACAAGAATCCAGCCTGGGAGCTGAGAACCAACAGGGGGCCCTGGGAGCTGTAGTTCCTTGGTTAGCTCCCTGCCTATAGAGCCAGCCCTGGAGCAGGGAAAGAACTACATTTCCCAGCATTCCCTTGGCCACTAGCAACAGGAAAGGGTGGGCGAAGGAGTATGGAACTGAAATCTGCAGCTTGCTGTGAATGGTAGGAACAGAGCCAGCTCTAGGTTTTTTGCCGCCCCCCCCCCGCCCGCCCTGGGCTCCCCCCGCGCCCCTGTATTGTCCCAGCCCTGGACTCTCCCCCGCCCACACCCCCTGCTGCCCCAGCTCTAGCCCCCACCTGCACTCCCCTGCTGCCCCAGCCCTGGGCTTTCCCCCCCCCTGCACCTCCTGCCGCCCCAGCTCTGGCCCCCACCTGCACTCCCCTACTGCCCCAGCCCTGGGCTCTCCCCCCACCCGCACCTCCTGCTGCCCCAGCTCTGGCCCCCACCTGCACCCTCCTGCCGCCCCAGCCCTGGGCTCTCCCCCAAAGAAGGAATTGGGGGGACTAAATGGATGGTGCACCTCTCTATCTGAAGCCTAGCAAGGGAGGTATGTGGATCCCACTAGAATTTAAAATGAAAAGTAAGGGAGGGGAGGCTCTGGACCTGGGCAGCTTTAGATACAGTACCAGGCACTTAGGAGGATTTCCACTTCTGAGCCATGGAAGGAGAAATTGACTTTTCCTTTCCAGATATAGCTAATATTCAGAAAGGGAATCTAGCACCTGCCTTCCAGATTTGAACACCCTCAAAATTAAGGAGTGCTCAAGCTCAATTTGGGCAGCTGTTACTTCATTTCCTCCAAATCAAATATACTGATCCACTGTAACTTGCTGTAGAAAAAATAGAATAAATTGAGCAAGAAATGCTTCCCAGTGGTTATTAGGACTGGAATTGCTATTTCTAACAGCCATTGCTTTTTTTTTTTTTTTTAAAGTTTTAGTTTTATTTGTTTAAAAGGAAGACCGTGATAGTGCATTCCCCATAGAAACAAAGAATGGAACAAAAGAATAATAAAGGCACCTCAACTTTTTCTCATTTATGTAGGACAGTCTTATAATATGCATCCAGATATCCTCCAATCACACAAGCTGAAAATTGTTCCACTTTATTGCAGTTCTGTAACCATATGGGAACCAATCCTGTCTGTGTTCTGTGCACATCTAAAATTCCTGCTGAATGACCCGCCCTGGGAGCGAGTTACCAGTGACCCAGGGCTGGGGAGGCAGGAGGGTGCAGTTGGGGGGAGGGGGAGAGCCCAGGGCTGGGGTGGGGGGGCAGCCAAAAAATTTTTTGCTTGGGGCAGCAAAAACCTAGAGCCGGCCCTGCCCATTCATTCAGGCACATCTGCCCCTGTTCCCACACCCCACATCCCCATGTGGCCCTGCACCCCCACTCCCATCCCCATGTGGCTCTGCACCCCCACTCCCATTCAGTCTCTGGCTCAATGCTGTCACCCCACTAGCTCCTGAGCTCACACCCCAGTCTATCCAGCTCACTCGCCATTCTGAACACCAGTCTGTGACACTCTCCCCCCCCCCCAGCAACCCTGTGGGCCCCACTTTGTTTGTCATAACCGGGCTCCACGGGCAGGGTGCTGTGATGAACTTCTACTCCTGGGGGAATTCTGTGCCACTGCGCACAATTTCCGCCCCCCAGAAAATACATTCGGTCTGAGAAGTGCTGCAGTTCTGCCTTTTGCCCACCAGAGGCTGCTGTGGTGCCAGAACAGCCAGCAACTGGCTGCATTCATGCTGCTGGCTGATCTGGCACCATAGCGGCCTCTGGTGGATGAAAGGCAGAACTGCAGCACTTCTCAGGCAGAATGTATTTTCTGTGGAAAAAAAATTCTGCAGCCAGACATGAATTCTGCATGTGCACAGTAGTGCAGAATTCCCCCAGAAGCATTAATGGCAATGGGAGCTGCAGGGCTCTTAGTGCTTTGGGAAATCAGACCAATTCTTTAGATGCCTAAATATGGACTTCGACACTAAATCTAAGTGCTGTTGTTTAAAATCTTGGCCTAAACACTTTCACAAAAACAAACACAAAAAACCCCCAACCAAATTCACACACTGTTAGGATAATCAATGAAACACATGTAGGAAGACAAGAGAACACACAGAGCAATATATATTCTTCATGTTTACAGTAAATGAACTATCAGTGTGCAGGTCATCTATGGTAGCAACTGAATGAACCTCTAAACAAATGCTCAGATTAACAGAAAACTATATGTGAATCTGAAACAACGTCCTGAAATCACAGACCGGATACACAGCAAGGCAGACACACATGCACTCAAAACCATAGTCTGGGAAGTGTGCAGAGGCAGACTGACATTTTTGTTTCATTTTGCTCAATACAGCCTGATTGTTCTATATATTCCTACAGCGAACAGAGTGTTCATGAACAGTACATGTGAGTGAAGACCTAGCTATCAAGAGAGCTGCAGCACAGTAAGTTTCTCTGTGCTGACCCCCGCTTCGCCCCATGGGTGAAATGGGAATTCAGTCTCCACCACCCACACGGATCTCAGGATCTAGCAAGATGGATGCCAAGGGGGGCAAATGCAATGTAGGTACCCACTAGGGACTCTGCTGACACCACCAATTCAGTTGACCTCTTTCCATGAACGTCCCCGAAATGGTAATAAATCTAGGTCATTACTGACACAGTCTGGGCTGAAAGTGATGAAGCAGAAAGTCCTCAAAGTCACCCAATTCCCCCCACTCTCCAAAGAGCCAGAATTTCTAACAGCCACTCCTACACACATACATCCCCAAAGACTCCTAGTTCTATAGCTTTCATCCAGCTAGTGTCATGAATCTGTCACTGGAGGTTTTTAAGAACAGGTTAGACACACATTTGTCAGGGATGAGCTAGATAATACTTAGTCCTGCCTGAGCGCAGGGGGCTAGACTAGATGACCTCTCAGGATCCCTTCTAGTCCTACGATTCTATCAAAGGGCAAATTTCTCAACACTAGTGCAGAAAAGAAGGTGGTCTGGAGGATTCAGACCCTCAATATATAAGTGATTAGATGAGGAATCATTCCCACTATCAGCTTTTTTTTTTTTTACATGCATATCTTGACCCAAGAAACACCATCATTCTCCCATTTCACAAATGAGATAACAGAGTTTGGACCATTTCAGCAGGCAGAGCTGGGGATAGAACCCAGGTCTCTAATAAAACTGAGCCAAGTCTCTTCCACTTTGCGAATCTTTTAGAAGCAACATGGCAAATTAGACAGTGTTGCCAACTCTTCCAGGTTTACAGTGAGAGAGGCAGCTTTGGCGCCTACTGTAGGAGCTCTTGTGAGAGGAAGAGCATGTTACTCTCTGTCGACTAGCCCATACAAGGAGACATGACATACACACATTTCAGTGGGCTACACAAGTATTGTAAGACAGCAGTGAGATGCTAGGCATCAGGATTGGTTAAACAGCATAGTCAAATGTAATGATGCAACTCTTGGGGTCATCTGTGGGGACTGATCCCTGGACCGTGGATATAAAATCATGAGCCACTACCACTTAAGCTGAAGAACTAGATCTCTTCAAATGGACGCAGCTGCAGAGTACTATGTGGTCCAGCTGCTAACGGGTGATAAAGCCATGTTTTCATGTAAGTTACAGAAGCAAACTGCCACCCACACACTAGAGAGGAGGCGGGGGGGTTCAAAAATCAGAACACAGTCCAAAAGACAGGATTGAGTTTTGTTTCTCTCATTACTTTTGCGACACTCTTACGATTTCTTGGGGTCTGACTCATAATTTTTTAATTTTGGGGGTTCGCAATATTAGAAAATGAGAAAATCCAAAGGAAAATTCAGTGATACAATCACTCATGACACCCTGAAATGGCTAATGCAGAACTTAAATGTTACTGCAATGTAACCATCTGTTTCAGTGGCTTAATACATAACAGGAGCTATGGAGCTAAATATTATTAGCTGAGTAATCTCAAAGACAGTGTAACAGGCAATCTACGTGCAGTGAAATGCGAGGTGAGGCAACAGGTCTTTTAATACTAGCCAATAGGCCAGTACTAATGTACCAGCAAAAAGGAAAGAAAGATGATACCTAGTGGAGAGATGTTAGATAGGGCAACACTGGAGAGGTGCTTTGTCCCATTTCACCTGGTACATAAATCAGCACTGAAGCAGTCAAGTAATAATTTGAGAAAACTGTGATCCTCAAGTATCAAACATCCCTGCAGTCAGCTTGCCAGTCCACCAGAATTAACTGTGAGTACATCAGATTTTTTACAAGATCTATTTAACACATCCGCACCACAGAGACAATGCACTTTAAACCTGAACAGCTGTCAACTAAATACACTATTCCCTCATTTCCAACTGTTCTATTATTGACAGCCACGCCTGCGGTCTCTTCTGTAAATTCTTCTCTCTAACACGTCTGGGAAGTTTGCTGGAAAAGCAATGGGCATGGGAAGTACAATTATATACATTGTTTGAAGAGACAATTTAAAACTTGACAACTTTTCTGTTGACTCCTTACCAAAAGGAGGTAGTCCGTAGGTCTGGGTTGTCTGAGGGTAGATGGCATAGGGCTGAGTCTGCTGTAGCGCTTGGTACTGAGTCTGACCAGGATAAGGGGTCATCGTTTCTGATATAGGTACAGAAAGGATATGTGCATATGGCCTATAAAAAAGAATTAAAATGTTCATATTCTGCAGCTCTCATCATGCACATCCTGAAAGGATGCTTTAGAAACATGTGCTAATTATAAATACAGGGACATGTACTTTTTAAGGAACTTAGGAGGATAATATAGCAGCTGACAGAAGCTCCTGGGTCTGATTTTCCGCCATGCCAAGCATCCACATCTCCAAATGAAGTCTTAGAGAGCTGTGGGTACTCAGCACCTCAAGGAAGTCAGGATGCTTTCCCACAGTTTTTAATAGTTTCAGAAGAGTCGAAGTGAGTTAGTAGCAAGCTCCACTGGTTTCAGTAGGATTTGAGCACAGAGTTCCCATAGAAATCCCAGCCAGCATCATTAATATCAATTAATCAAAGGGATACACTGTTACAAATGTTTAATGGTTAAAAAAGTAAAAAATATTCCAAGTTAATGAAAGCCATCCCATCTGCTTGGCAACAAAGCAATGCCTTAGAACTTGTCCATACTACAATTTGTAAGTGTTTTGACACGTTAATACACGACTGCAGTATGAGGTTATGAGACTGCATGAAAGCAAATATGGAGAATTAAGGTATCTAGAAATTATTGTGCAATGGGAGAAAATACTAAAATCTACAAGTATAGAAGAAGGCTGGGACATCCTAAGATGAAAATCAAGGTGATGGCAATTTGTCTTAAAACAAGACAAAGAACAAGCAGATGACAATGTGGCTTGAAGCGCTGAGCTGAGGTTTAAAAAACTGTACTTAAGTGACAGAGCAGGGAGCAACTGAATAAGAATACACAATCAATAAAGGCATTCCAGCATCTCAGTGAAGGGCACAGAATCTGGACAGAATACATGATAGGGAAAGAAAACAGCAGAATGAGCTAATAAGGCTAACAATAAGAGAAGGATTTTATAATAAGGATCAAGGAAAAATAAACTAGCATGAAAGTAAGGCCACTAATAAATTAGGAGGGTGAAATAGCAGTAACACCTCTTAAATGGCTTACTGAATGGTTTTTTAAAATCTAGTTTCATCAAGAAAAATAAAAGAGAGATTTGGACAGTTAGGAAGTAATGAAGACCTAATATTAATAAGAACCAGGCAAGGGAACACTTAGGATTTCTGTGAGATCCATTTCTCTACTTTCCGGATGAAAACGCATCCTATGTTTGTAAGCTTACCAAACCATTATTTATGAAAAGTTATGGAGTACTGGGGAGGTACCAGAGGATGGTGGGCAGGGTGGAGAAGGCGGTATCAATCCTCAAAAAAGGAAAGACAAGTGATCCTAGAAATGACCAACAGGAAATTCTACATTCAACCCCTAATAAAATGGAACTTAATATGTAAAGTAAATGGTAAACATCTAGGCTGGGGTTTTCAAAGGAAGCAAAAAGGGCCCCAAGTCCCAGTGACTAGGATCAGAATACCTCGCTCCCTTTTGAGAAAATATCAAACAATGTACGAAGAGTACACTGGAGATGTAACACATCTGATTATTCCCATTTCCTTTACATTTGATGCTGACAGCTCCTTTTCCCAGGTATGCAAGTGCTTAGATGTCATCAATGCCTAAATAAAGAGGAGACAGTTGAAGCTAAATATTTGTGAGATAGAAGGCATGATGATGGGTAGAGGGAAATATCTATAGGAAGTAGCAAACACCATAACATCTTCCATCAAGGGCATCTATTCTCCAATCATCAAGATAATATGCAGCGTAGTGCCCAGAACCCCTGACTGAGATCAGGGCCCATTGTGCTAGGTGCTGTACATGTATACAGTAAGAAACAGTTGCTGCCTTGAAGAGCTTCCAATCTTAGACCCAGCCTTACAAACTCATGCAAATGGTTAATTTTACATAAGTGAAACCACTAATTTCAGCAAAATTTCTCACATGGCTAAAGTCAAGCAGGTACATGTTTACAGGACATGGGGCTAAACCAACAAGACATACACCAGGTAGAAGAAAGGGAGTATTATCCCCATTTCACAGATGGAGAACTGAGGCAAAGAGAAACTGAATGACTTGCCAAGGGTCACACAGGAAATCTGTGGCAGAACGAGGAACTGAACTCAGATCTTCTGAGTCTCAGAGGGGCCTTCCTAGATACCTCACTGCTACCAGATATCCAGGTAACCACAGCTGGTAAAGATATCTTTTTTCATCTGTGGTAAATCAGATGGATGAGGACCTGGCATTGTGACCTGTGCACTGACAACCTTCGGGCTAGATACTACAATGCACTGCCACCTGGGAATGAAGGCACAAGACTGAAAAGGCTCGTTATGGTTCAGAAGGCAACAGTTTGCCTGCCCATCAACATAAACTGCCAGGTTTCCTACTTTTGACCCTCACACCGGTCCTCCTTATTTTTTTCTTTTGTCCTGCGTAATTATTTGAGTCCTGGGCTCAGTGGATCCTCGCCATAGGCTGGGGGAGAGTCCTTTAGCTGTAGGCGGGCTTGCACCTGCCCACCTCCTGGAAACCAATAGGAGGACCCTCTTGCAGCGAGGAGCTGCTACTACTGGGCCCAGAGCACCCTCTTCAGCTTCGTCTGGGCCAGATTCCCTCCCCACCCCCCACTACCTCACCGGCTGGTGCTCTCGCTGGCGGCTGTTGCTCCTTGGGGAGGGGGAGTGAGGACCCCGACACTGCTTTGCTACCACCTGTGGGGTCACTCCTGGCTGTCTGCTAGTTGCTGCTGCTGTTGTCTGGAAGCCTGCTGCTCCCTTGGGGAGGAAGAGGAGGACCTTTGCTGCGGGGAGAGCATGCAGGACCACTGCAGGACACTGTGGAGGAGGCTTACTACAGGACTGAGCGATTTTTTCCAGCTTTGCTCTTGTGGTGGTGGTAGCTACTGTTGCTGTGGGGTGCAAGGGGAGCGGCGTGAAGCCCTCCCCCTGGTCCATCTGCCCTTCCCTCCCATCACCACCACCACTGCTGCTGCCCCCTCCATCACCTCCCACCTACCACCTGGACCTGTTCCTCATCCCTCCGCTCAGCCACTTGCCTCCCCCTTTTTTTCCACCATTTGGGACTGCAGCAGCAGCAAACAAGGACAGCGTTGTGCAAGGGCACGTGGGCACAAATGCCTTTCCCCTCCCTTTAGACTTGCCCTCCCCTCCTCTGCTGCTTTCAGCTGGTGGACCTCCCTCACCCTCTGCTTTGCCCATCGGCCTTCCCGCAGCAGTTTGCCCCCTTGCTGCCCATATTTGCCCCCATGCCCTCCCGCTCAGGTCTCATAGCAGTTTTTCTGTTTGTTTGCCTGTCCCGCTCCAGTCCCTGGAAATTTGCCAGTTTGCCTGCCCCACCCTGGCCCTTGCAGTTAGCCCCTGCAGTTTTCCTGCCCCGGCCTGCTTCCAGCCCGTTCCTTTCTCCACTGCCCTCCCTCCCCCACCATCCAGTCCCATCGTTAAGTAAGCCCATGTCTCACCCCTATGCACTTGTACCCCTTCCCCTTTTATGTTGAGCCCCTTCGTTCACTGCACCTCCCCAATGATATTATAGTCCTTCCCTTTCCCAGGGCAGCCGGAGGCACCGGTATTTTCAACACGTGTTGGTAATCGCGCCCCTCCCCTGCCTTGATTGGTGTCCCCAAGCTCCCCACCCCCCGTGACGCCCTCCTCCCCTGCTTGCAGCCTATTGGGGAGGAGTAGTTGGCCTTTCCACCCCTTCCCCTCCTTTTCCCCCCTCCTTCTGGTGTGCATCCCTGTCCCTTCTGAGAATGGTGGGGGAAATAGCAGGTGAGCCCCCCGCCCAGGTTGACCCTGCTGCCTCCCCTCAGCCTGCTCCCCCATCCATCCCAAAAATAAACTGCCAGGAACATATCTACCCAGTGTTCCAGACACAGCCCCCAAACACCCGGTCAAACTCAGAGCCCCAGTCCTGTTCACAGCCCTTAACCACGTGAGCCTCACCTACCTTACTCCAGAGCCCTATCATGACAATTTCACTCCTCAGGGACAACGGAACTGTCAGTAACTAGGGTCAAGAATTATTCAGGGTGCTAAAAAGGAGCAGAACTAGAAGCAATAGAATAAAATTAAGAGAAGGAACAATAAAGATGAATACGAGAGGACACATCCAGTTACTGTGACTGTGAAACAGTCTCCAAAGGGAAGTGGGGGAAGCTCATTCACTTGGAATATTTAAGACTAGAGAAAACAAAGCACTGGAGACAACAGGAAATCCTTCTGCACTCATCTACGTGAATTAGATCATAGGTACAATTTTCAAAAGGACATAAGTGACATGGGAGCCTAAATCCCACTGGAAGTCAGTGGGGCTTTGGCTTCTAGATCAGTTAGATGCGTTTGGAAATTTTACCCCTTTCCTTTCTCTCTCTCCGGTGTGTCTGATTTTATACATAAGGAAACTATTTCATTTTCACTCATGTCCAGTTTATTCATTCACTGAATACCTTGGGCTTGAGTCTATAATACCTTATATTCTCAGTCATTACCAAGTGACATGATACCTTAGCAATCACTAAAGGCCCAATCCAACTCCCACTGAAGCCAATGGCAGTCTTTCCATTGGCTTCACCATGTGCTGGACTGGGTCACATATGCAGCAATGCCAATTTGTTGTCTATAAAAATACCATTCTGCAATGTTAAAGGTTCTGCTAAATGCAGGTTGAGATGGGAGGAGGGGAAGGTTAACATAAGAATGGACATAGTGGGTCAGACCAATGTTCCATCTAGCCCAGTATCCTGTCTTCCAGCAGTGTCCGATGCCAGATACTTCAGAGGGAATGAACAGAACAGGGCAATTATCGAGTGATTCATCCCTTGTTGTCCACTCCCAGGTTCTGGCAATCAGAGACTAAGGACACACAGAACATGGGATTGCATCCCTGACCATCTTGGCTAATTAATTGTCATTGATGGACCTATGCTCCATGAACTTACCTAGTTCCTTTTTGAAACCAGTTATAGTTCTGGCCTTCACAACACTCCCGGGAAGCGAGGTCCACAGGTTGACTGTGTGTTGGGTGAAGAAATACTTCCCTTTCTTTGTTTTAAACCTGGTGCCTATTAATTTCATTGGGTGACACCTGGTTCTTGTGTTATGAGGAGGAGTAAATAACACTTTCTTATTCACTTTCTCCACACCATTCACAATTTTATAGATCTCTATCATATCCCCCCTTAGTCATCTCTTTTCCAAGCTGAAAAGTCACAGTCTTTTTAATCTTTCCTCATATGGAAGCTGTCCCATACCCCTAAACATTTTTGTTGCCCTTCTCCATACCTTTTCCAATTCTAATATATCTTTTTTGAGATGGAGTAACCAGACCTGCATGCAGTATTTCAGGTGTGAGCGTACCATGGCTTTATATAAAGGCATTATTGTAGTTACTGTCTTGTTATCTCTCTCTTTCCTAATGGTTCCTAACATTGTTAGCTTTTCTGATTGCTACTGCACATTGAGCAGATGTTTCATAGAACTGTCCACAATGACTCCAAGATCTCTTTCTTGAGCAGTAACAGCTAATTTAGACCCAATCATTTTGTATGTATAGTTGGGACTATATTTTCCCCATGTGCATTACTTTGCAATTATCAACATTGAATTTTATCTGCTGTTTTGTTGCCCAGTCACCCAGTTTTGAGAGAATCTTTTGGAACTCCTCACAGTCTGCTTTGGACTTTACTATCCTGAGTATTGTCTGCAAACTTTGCCACCTCACTGTTTACCGCTTTTTCCAGATCGTTTATGATTATGTTGGTTCCAGTACAGATCCCTGGGTGACACTGCTATTTACCGCTCTCCATTCTGAAAACTGATAATTTATTCCTACCCTTTGTTTCCTATCTTTTAACCAGTTACTCATCGATGAGAGGACCTTCCCTCTTATCCCGTGACTGCTTACTTTGCTTAAGAGCCTTTGGTGAGGGACCTTGTCAAGGCTTTCTGTAAGTCCACGTACACTACATCCACTGAATCACTCCTGTCCACATGTTTGTGGACTCCCCTCAAAGAATTTTAATAGATTGGTGAGGCATGATTTTCATTTACAAAAACAATGTTGACTCTTCCTTAATAAATCATGTTCATCTGTGTGTCTGATCATTCTATTTTTTACTATAGTTTCAGTTTGCCTGGTACTGAAGTTAGTACTGGCCTGTAATTGCCAGGATCGCGTCTGGAGCCTTTTTTAAAAACTAGTGTCACATTAGCCATCCTCCAGTCATCTGGTGCAGAGGCTGATTAAAGTGACAGGTTATGTACCACAGTTAGTAGTTCTGCAATTTCATATTTGAATTCTTTCAGAACTAAATCAAAAGTTTTAACAGTTTAGAGAAAAATGCAGTTATAAAATTTAGAACCAATTTTTCAACTTACTTTGCAGAATATAGCTGTGAGGTATAGTCATTTGGTGACCTTGGGATGTAATCAGTGCATGTCAGAACTGAAAAAGAAACATTTTATACAACAGAATTGTAATGAAAGGATTTTTTTAAACTACACAATTTCCAAAAAAAGTAACAAAACTTAATGAATCACAGTGAAACATTAGCACGTCCCACAAGGTGTTCTAACCTGACAAACCATATAGCTGTTAAGTTTTTGGAGTGCTTTGGATATATGGCTTAAAAAATATTTACAAATGTGTTTAAACAAGGTGAAAAATGTAACTTCCTGCCCCTGCAAATAAGTGCATCATTCAGAGCAGCAAGTTGTCCCTTCACAGACAATAAGACCAGAATCTATGGCTTTCATTTCCTTGATTTTGGGAGTGTGACAAATCCCCTGAACATTCTACAGTTCTGCACGTGCACCGATGCTTCACTTCAGCATGCACTGCACTGAAAATCCCCTGGAACCCAGCTGTTACTGGAGCAGCTATGGTGGCTAAGGGACAGAGAGACCGCGAGGCCAAGTTGAGCCAGGCTCTGCCCCCAGACCCCTCTCCCCTGCCCCCAAAATACATGGGCCCAGCAGCCCATCTTCTCCCTCTGGTGGCACCACATTAGGCAGGATCCCCCAACCCATCTCTTGGGGGACAGGACAAGAACTCATGGAGCTGAGAAACAGCCTGGCTGCTGCCAGAACAGCTGTAGCAGTAATGGGGAGAGCACCAAGCTTTACCACCTGCTCTGGATCCTTCACATGGCCCTGGCAGCCCACCTCCCCCTTGGGGACACTACATGAGACAAGAGTTCAGGGGCAGCATAACAGGACCAGTCTGAAAACACATCCACTTAGCCTCAACGCCTGTTCAGAAGAGCCTGCTATATCTTGTCCTTGGCTATACTGTCAGTAAAAGGGGGCTACTTAGTCAAGTATTGCTTCTGTGGGTTATCCATCCTCCTCTAGTGGCTTGTTCACATACAGTAACAGCCTTCTGCTGCCAGCTAATGTAGTTAGCCCTGTAGCTCAAGTAGTACATCTGAGGGGCAGTTCAAACACTGTTAATGTGAAGTTTATTACAGTTGTACATGCCAATGTTTTTACTTTTTTCTGTTTAAAAAAGCAAAAGGAAATTTAAAAAGTTATTCAGGTTGCAAGGGCAAGCACTCAAAAGTGCAGAAATCTCATATTTAATGTTCTGCGTGTGCCTTATGATACACTCTATAATTACATGGTCACCTACTGTTTTTTCCACAAGACCTCTGCCTCATTCAGTGCACAGTTGGTGTTCAGGGAATGAATCAGGGCTGTGCAATAAATGAGGTCATTCTAGTCTGTGGGCTCTTTGCCTCATTTGCTCTAGAAGTTGGAAGGCACACAGAGAACGAGGAAGGGAACTGGAGGAAGAAAAAAGATGGTCCTGGGGTAAAGGCAGTTAAATGCCACTTAGAACTGGCTTCTATCCTGGCTCTCCCACACACTTCCCATGCTTCTTAAACCAATATTGTTGGCAGCTGACCACTGACTGCATGCCCCTCACTTTCTGGGTGCCTAATGTGACGACTTGGGGTTCCAGATGCACAGAGGTGCTGAGTGCTCAGAACAGTAAGTCAAGTCAATGGGAGCTGTGGGTGCTCACCACCTCTGGCAGCAAGGCAGTAAGATGTGGAGTTGTAGGCACAGGAGTTGGCAGTCAGGATCCTGAGTTCAGATCCTGGCTCTCCCACTGATTCAACATGCGTCCATAAACCTCTTTCTTTGTCTCAGTTTTCAGAGTTATGAAATGGGGATGATAAACACTCTCCTACCTCACAGGGAAGTTGTGAATATGAATTCATTAGTGTCTGTGAGGCTTTCGTACTACATCAATGAGAGCCACAGAGGAGCCAATGAGCATATTACTAACTCTGTAGTCAGCGCAGGGCTTGGATGGGGCATGGTAAATAAGGCAAAGACCACACATTGAACGATGAGCATAAGAGCGGCCTCATTCCCTGAGCGCAGTCTGCCCTGTGCACTGAATGAGGCAGGGGTTCTGTGGAAATAATAGGGTGTGATTATGTAATTAAAGAACTGTATGCACTAGAGGGCTAAATTACAGTTGCACAGGCAACCTTCAATTGACATTTTGACTTTGCAACCAAAATAACTTTCTTTTAACTTAGTGTTTTGGGATATAGTTTAATTATACGATGTAATCCAGTCTGATATTACAATCCTGCAAACATAGTCTGGACCTTATAGAAGCTAATGAAATAGCTCCCTCTGCTGCTTAGTATTAACTATTGAATGTTGCGGGCTATGAGTAGAGATGGCAAAGAAAGTCTCGGGGCTTGTCTATACAAAGGGCTAGTGTGTGGCAAGACGGGATGTAAATCTACAGCGCACTAGCTTGCCGCACACTAACCAGCCGTGTGGACCCTGCAACCTTAAACTAAACGTTCCCTAGTGTGCTTTGACCTACTACTAAACAGCAGTAGGTCAAAGTGCACTAGGGGAGAGGTTATTTCCCTGTAACTGGAGATTCTTTGAGACGTGGTCCCTTTCTGTATTACACTGTGGGTTACGCATGCGCACCCATGCGACTGGATTGAAAGTAGAGTCAACTGGTCCACACATGTTCCCTGACTTGCCTTGTGCTGCCATCCAAGGCGATAAAGGGCAGGACAGACAGACTGTCTCCGGTTCCTTCTCCACTGTGAATCAGACAGATTCAAAACACAGAGGAAGGGCGGGTGGGTAGTGGAATATAGATAGCAACCACAAATCTCAAAGAACCTGCAGTTACAGGGAACTAATCTCCTCCTCTTCTTTGAGTGATGGTCCCTATTGTATTCCACTGTGGGTGATTGGCAAGCAGTACCTTAGTTGGAAGAAGGTGCAAGGATGAGGGTGGAAGGGTCGTGCAAAGAACCACCATGCCAAAGGATGCATCTGCTGCCAAGTCCTGCACCAAGGCGTAGTGTGTTGCCAAGATGTGGACAGAACCCCACGTGGCTGCTTTACAGGTCTATAAAAGGCACAACTTGAAGGGATGCCGTGGTCATAGCTTGGAGTGAGCTCATACCTCTATTGGGCGAGGTTCGACAGCTGGTAGCAGAGTATAATGCAGCTAGAAATTCATTTGAAAAATTCTCTGGGTGGAGATGGCCTATCCCAAGTCTCTCTGCTACCTCAGTAAATAGACTTTCTGATTGGTTTCGTTCTCTGCCGGCAGAAGGCTAGAGCTCATTGGACTTTGAGGGAATGGAGAAGACGTTCTTCTGCAGATGCGTGTGGTTTCGGGAAGAAAACAGGTAGGTGAATGGATTGGTTAATGTGAAACAGATCACCTTAGGTAAGAATTTCAGGTGTAGGCATAAGGAAACCTTATCTTTGTGGAAGACTGTAAATGGCACATCTGCCATCATAGCATTTGAGTTCCCCTATCCTCCTCGCCAAAGTAATAGCAACAAGAAAGGCAACCTTCATGGAGAGGAGGGACATAGAGCAAGATTCTATTGGCTCAAAGTGGGGTTTCATTAATACCGAGAGTATCAGATTCAGGTCCCATTGAGATGCAATTGTTCGGAGAGGTGGGAAGGTTCTGACGAGGCCTTTCAAAAATCTAGTAGTTAGTGGGTGTGTAAAAATAGAGTAACCTTCCATAGGAGGATGGAATGTGCTGATCGCCACTAGGTGGACTCTCAAAGCGCTGAGGGCAAGGCCCAATGCGTACCAGGAAAGAATGTGGTCCAGGATTGGGGGAATATCAGTTGCTTCTGGTAAAAACTCTTATGTTGTGCCCAAGACAAAAAACATCTCTACTTAACTCAGTAATATTGTCTAGTGGAATTTTTTCCTACTGTTAGAGAGAATGTCTTGTACCACTGAGGAACATGCCTGTTCTATAGTTGATGCCCGTCCAAGTACCATGCACTGAGGTGAAGTGGACACGGATTGGGGAGCTTGATCTCGCCATTGCACTGTGTTGAAAGGTCGGGAAGTATGAGATGGGGATCGGTGGCCAGAATGACATGAGCAGAAGATTGGGGAAGCAGAATTGTCTGGGTCAGAAGGGGGCAATCAGAATGACCGTTGCCTTGTCTTGATGGATTTTGTAGAGCACTTGAGGTAGGAGCAGTACAGAAAGGAAGCTATAGTTGAGCTGGTGTGATCAAAAGAGAAGGAGGGCCTCATCCTGACAGCAGTAACCGAAGGCTCCCTTGGAGCAGTATGTGGTGCACCTGCTGTTTGTCTGAGAAGCGAATAGGTCCTTGGTTGCGGTCCCCCATTGTGTGAAGATGTCACGTAGCACTGCGTTGTGAAGTTCCCACTCATGATTTATCACAAAATGTCTGCTGAGTGACGCTGTGAGAACATTCTGTGTCCCCGGAATATAGGCCGCAGATAGGCTAATCTGATTACTGATGAATCAGTTCCAGAGTTTGACCACTTTTGCACACAGAGAGGTGGATCTCACTCCTCCTTGTTCGTTGCAGTAAAAGACCATGGTGGTGTTGTCCAACATGATCAGGACATGATGAGAGTAAATGAGTGGAAGAAAGGATTCACACGCTCTTCTTACTGCTCAAAAGTTCTTGGACATTGATGTGCATTCTGGATTCTTAAAGTGTCCATGTCCCTTGTGTGGTATGGTCATCGATATGTGCTCCCCAGCCGAATAGTGACATGTCAGTGATAACAGTTCTGTCTGGGGAAGAAGGAAAAAATGGGGACTCCCACACACATGCGATGTGGGCCTGTCCACCATAGGAGGGATGATAGTATCTTGGGTGGGACTGTCAGCATGAGGTTCATAGAGTGACGATTCAGTGAATATACTGACTGAGGCCATGTCTGCAGGCAGAGAAGGTGAAGTCTAATGAAGGGAGTCACGTAGGTGCATGAAACCATATAGCCAAGTAGAGAGAGGCACATCTTGGCTGGTACAAAATGGTTGTTTGTGATGCGAGCTATGACGACATTCATTGCTTGAAATCTGTCTGTAAACAGATATTCCTGTGCCGTGATAGAGTTTAGGGTAGCTCCAATGAAGTCCAATGACTGCGTGGGGTT